AGTGCGGCGCCGGGGCCGGGGCCGGGGGTCGGGGGACGGCTCCCCAAACCTGCTCCACGTGATCGCTCTCTGCCACCTGTTGAAATCACATTCTAATCAGCTAAATACAGGAGACGAAGTGTTAGAGATAGAGCGAAAACAATCTTTTCATAGGAAAAATAGAGACCCATCTCCCCTGTTTTAGGACGCCCTGCAGACCCAGGTGAACTCGGCAATGGCAAGCGTCGATCCCCGGTTCCTGGGCGCCTGGGAAACAGCAAGCTCAGCCACAGTCTCAGCCTCACCTGCCCGGGCGGGTCTGCTGTTGTCTGGAGAGGTCGGGAGGGGAGGCCACGGCTGTGCGGAGGCTGCGGGGCCAGCCGCTGAGTGTCAGCCTCCTGGCGCTGCTGGGAGGCGGCAACTCTGTCCCGCCGGTGCGCCTGGAAGCTTAGAATTGGCGCAGCCTCAATGCGCTCTGCTGACCCGACCGCCACCCAGCACCCCCGCCACACATCACCCCCACCTCCTCCATCACCGCCACCTCCCCTACCACCCCAACCCCAAGTGAAACAGCCGTGGAATAGAGAAGATTACTAAAAAATCACAGCATCTTTTCTTTCTTCCAGTAGTGTAACCTCATCCCATTTGAATTGGTAAAAAGCTCTCCTGTTAAGATTTTAAGAAAGTCATAGTTGGAGTGTTTTGTGAAAGGAGAACAATGCAGTTGATGCTTCCATTCTATTTTTTAAACGTCATACCGCAATTGTAAAATGCAAATTACCTGTTTTTCTAATACTCTGGTCTTCTCAAAATTACAAGATTGTTAGTGTCAAAGAATGGTCCACAATTTGAGATATTTTAGGCTTTTCTAGAAATATACGTAAGCAAGGACTTGATTGACAAACGCAAACTGCTTCTGATAGCCTTGGAGGGTATGTTTCCTAAAACAGTGCAAGTTCAAACACTGCCTGAACCTCCCCCTAAGACAGCAGTTCTCAACCTGTGGGTCACCAACCTGTGGGTCGTGACCCCTTTGGGGGTCGAACGACCCTTTCACAGGGGTCGCCTAAGACCATCGGAAAACACATATATAATTACATATTGTTTTTGTGATTAATCACTGTGCTTTAATTATGTTCAATCTGTAACAATGAAAATACATCCTGCATATCAGATATTTACATTACGATTCATAACAGTAACAAAATTACAGTTATGAAGTAGCAACAAAAATAATTTTATGGTTGGAGGTCACCACAACATGAGGAACTGTATTAAAGGGTCACGGCATGAGGAAGTTTGAGAACCGCTGCCCTAAGAGAACCACCCTGCAGTCTCAGGGGTGTTGCTCAGTGACAGTGCAGGGGCCTGCCTGGGTTCCCACCTCTGACTCAGGAGCTTTGACTTCTTACTCTCTAAGGTGGAACTCGCCTGGGCACCTCCCCTTTGGGGACTGAGTGAAATAAACTAAATATTAGTTCTCTCCAATTCCTATTTTCTTCCTCCACCTTCCCTTTGGGAGAGTCAGCAATTAAAACCACAGAATTCTATCCAGTTTCCTTTTATTTTCCTTCACAAGATCAGGCAAATGCTCCAATATAGTGCATTTTTAGTCATTTATGATGCATTTTTATTTATTTACTAGAGTCCCGGTGCATGAAAATTCATGCACTGGAGGGAGGTCCCTCAGCCTGGCCTGCCCCCTCTGACAGTCTGGGAGCCCTCAAGGGCCAGAGCACACAGTCTGGCGATCAGGGGAAGGCGATGCCCCATCAAACCTCTGCTGCTGCCACTGCCGGCAGTGCAAGCCTCTGCCGGCCCTGGTTACCTGAGCCTTGGGCGGCCTTGGGCAGCTGGGCAGCCACCATCCGAGACTTGCCTGCACCTTGGGCCAGCCCTGGGTAGCTGGGGGCTGAGGGGACTGGGGGACTCCGGAGGCAGGCGTGGAGCTGCCGGGCCCTCTTGGGGGTGGGCCCGGCCTTGCCATGTGCCTGCCGCCCCGGCAGGGCTGAGGGGACTGGGCACCGCCATCTTGTGGCTATGGGCACCACCATCTTTGAGGGGGGGCAGTCAATTAGCATATTCCCTCCTTTTTGGCTGTGGGCGCTGCCATCTTTGAAGGTGGGGCAGTCAATTAGCATATTCTCTCCTTATTGGCTGTGGGCATCACCATCTTTGAGGGCAGGGCAATCAATTAGCATATTCTCTTTTTATTGGCTGTGGGCGTCGCCATCTTTTGAGGGCGGGGCAGTCAATTAGCATATTCCCTCCTTATTGGCTGTGGGTGTCACCATCTTTCAGGTGAAAGTAGTCAGCAGAAGAAGCCTCTAGGGATGGAAATACAAACTTTCCTTTACCCACTTATGTGCCCCCACCAGGGATTGAATCTGCAACCAGGTATGTGCCCTCACTAGGAATAGAACTGGCAATCTTTTGATGTGTGAGACGATGCTCCAACCAACTGAGCCACCTGGTCAGGGCTCCCCTTCATTTTTGAAGGATGTTTCACTGGATCTGAAATTCAAAACTTTCAGTTGTTTTATTGCAACAGTTCTAATATTTTTTTACTTTTTTGCTTCCATTGTTATTTATTGGAGATGTGGTTTTCTGTCTTAGTGTAGCTGTTTTGAAAGTAATTTGCCTTTTTTCTATAATTGTTCTTTTAAAAGAGTTTATTTTAGAAACATTGAGTGAGAGAGAAACATCAATCGGTTGCTCCTCCCTCCCCCGCCCCATGCATCCCAACCTGGGATCAAACCTGCAACTATGTGCCGTGACTGGGGGTTGAACTAGCTACCTTTCTGTGTATCGGAGGATGCTCTAACCAACTGAGCCACACCAGGGCTGTAATTGTTCTTTAATTATGTTTTTGACCTTGTCTTTTAGAAGCTATACTATGACAGCCTAGGGGAAGATTTTCTTTCTGCTTATCCAGTTTTGAATTTTAGAGCTTCTAAAGTTTGTGACTTATATTTTATTTTAATTTTGGGAAATTTTCAGTATTCTCTCATCAAGTTTTGGTCTGACCCATTCTCTTTCTTCTTTCTTGCTGGGAGTCCTATTACATGTGTGTTAGACCTTCATTATCTTTTCTGTGTGTTTCCCATCCTTTTTCTCTCTGTACTTCAATCTGATCCCCTAAATCCTGCCTTTTTTGGTTGCTCCCCAGCACCTTCAAATAGCTGTTTCACTCTTTTTCTCAGTTTTAATCATAGTTCATAATTAGGAGCAGAAGTTAATATATAAAGTTTTCTATCCAGTGAGTTCTTGAATAACACTGTTTCATTCAATATTGATGAGATGCCATTTATATCAATTAACCTATGATAAAATTGGTATACCTTGCTTGTTTCACTTAAAGTTGCATAACCTATTGATGTCCTTGAGGACTTACTGTACAGTACAATACCAAATTAAAAAGTGCCCTAGCTGGTTTGGCTCAGTGAACAGAGTGTCGGCTTACAGATCGAAGGGTCCCAGATTTGAATCCAATCAAGGGCACGTACCCTGCCGGGGTCCTGGTCGAGGTTTGTGCAGGAGGCAACCAATTGATGTGTTTCTCTCATATCGATATTTCTCTCTGTCTTTCCCTCTCTCTAAAAATCAGTGAAAAATTTTAATTTAATTTAACTTAAATTTAAATCAAAATATCCTCAGGTGAAGAATAAAAAAAAAGTATAGCCCAACTGGCCTGGCTCAGTGGTTGAGTGTCGACCTATGAACCAGGAGGTCGCAGTTGGATTCCTGGTCAGGGCTCAATCCCCAGTGTGGGGCATGCAGGAG